CCAAGTCCTTCGGGACCAGAGGCCCTCTGGACGACCAGAGCCTCTGGTTGTATAGACCAGAGCTCTGGACTCCAAGTCCTTCGGGACCAGAGGCCTTCTGGACGACTAGAGCCTCTGGTTGTACTGCGTTCTGGGTGAAATTCTGGCAGGTTTTTTTTGGGTTAATAGTCTAATTCACAAATAAGCGATTCTTTCTATTTTGTTTCGTCTAATATTTGTATTTGTTGTATATAAAATATATAATTATAAGCTTTGATATAATCTCACTAAGCCTTGTCGCTTATTTTTTTAGAATGAATTTTCTTTTCAGGAAGGTCGGTAGCTGTCCAAGGGAAAGATAAAGAAGTTTAGATCTGCTTGTAGGATTCCAGATCCTGGATATTTTTTTTTGGTACTTGTTGTGCATATATCGTTTTGAGTTGTATCTATGTATATAATACTTTTGGGTAGATATATTTGTATTTTTGGACCAGACTTATAGTACCGAAAATTGTCGGTTGCAGGCTTCGTTATTTTATTTTTGGTGGAAATCTATAACATATATCCCGTATTTGCTTGGAGATTGTTTCATGGAAAATCTTTTGGATAAATAGTTTCTTTTTATTRAGAATTAGCGTAACTGATGTTACAATTATGGTATCAAAGCCGCGGATTAAGCGATCTGAATATCAGAAATGGTACTTAGACTTAAACCTAGGCATTGAGATCGTATAGTAACTAGACAATGATTTATACGAGATACGGACCTGTAGGAGAGACCTAAGTTGGGTTGGGACCAAGGGTAGGAATGTGTTTAACATAGATGTGCTGTTTTCTCAGTGAAATGTCGGAGCATGATGAGCAAAGTCAAACACAAAATGTTGGGGAAAACAACCCCACACTGAATATAAATGCTCCAGAAAGTGCCGAGAACGATGAAAATTCCGCTTTGTCCCCTCGTACAGAACGACTATTGAAACTTTTGGATGATCGATTGACTACAACTCTGGAACGACAGCGTCAAGAAATGGAGCGATGCCTTGAGGAAGAACGTAACCAAAACAATCCCATGGAACCCGACAATCGTGGTAAGCTTTCAAACGAAGTCGGAGATGCACTGAAACCTAAGTCCGACCGGGTTTCATTTAAAACTTTCAGAAGCTGTGGTGCAACAGAATATGCGGGGCAATCAGATCCCGAAATGGCGATGCAATGGATCCAGAACACGGAAAAGGTGTTCCGAATTACCGAGGTACTGGATAGTGATAAAGTAAAATATGCATCTGCGATGCTTATAGAGCGAGCCCTGGTGTGGTGGAATGCCACGTATGAGTCTTTAGACGCGACGACATGTAACAGTTTGACGTGGGACGAATTTCAGAAAAAGTTCTTTGAACAATATTGCCCTGTTGACCTACAAAGGCGTCTTGAAAATGAGTTCTTGGATCTGAAGCAAGGTAAGATGACTATACTTGATTATGAAACTGAATTCAACAAGAAGGCACGATTCGCACAACGATTCCTGAGCTCCGAACAGGATAAGATCGAACATTTCATTGGAGGACTACGGAAGGAGATTCGAAGTTTTGTGGTAAGTCGTGATGGTTCCAGTTTTAGCAAGATAGTCGAATACACACGACATTGTGAGTATGAATTATCCTTTCCTGATGAAAATGAACCGATGTCGAAACGTCCGCGAACTGACAGGATGATGTCTACCCCAACACAGCGGTTCTCTCAATTTTCCAACCAGAGGAGAATTCAATCTTAGAGTACCCCACGTGTATCCTCTCAGGCATTTAGCCTTCAGTCGAGCACACCAAGAGACTGTCGGAGGTGCGGAAAGACACATCAAGGCTGGTGTGATACAGATAGATTTGTCATTAAATGCTTTTGTTGCGGTGAAGCGGGTCACGTTAGGATGAATTGTCCCCAGAGAGATCTTGCATGCTTTTCCTGTGGAGTGTTAGGGCATCGTATTAAAGATTGTCCCGTTATAAGAAAAGATGAAAGCAAAGCCTCGGTACAACAACCAAAGAGAGTGGGTACTTCAACCCAAAAGGAGGAGGTGCCCAGGGCACGAGCCAGTGCTTTTCAAATCACAGTAGAGGAGGCAATGAAGGAACCGGACGTCATAACAGGTATTTTCCTTCTCAATGATAGATCTGCATGCATTTTATTTGACTCGGGAGCCACAAATTCTTTTGTGTCAATTTATTATACTTTGTACCTCGATTCTGTGCCAATCATGCTTGAAAAACCTTTTAATGTCGAGACTGCGAACGGAGTAACACTCGTAGCTGATAAAGTTTATAAAGACTGTAAATTAGACTTAGATGACCATGAGTTCACGGTCGATTTGATTCAAATGGATATTCATAACTTTGATGTGGTAATTGGTATGAATTGGTTGACGAAGAACCGAGCAGAAATCATTTGATACAAATTCCGATGGAAAATGGAGAATTCTTATATGTCTACGGTGAACGACGAGTGATCGACCTTAAATTAATCTCCGTACTCAAGGCTCGACATTATTTAACTAAAGGATACTCGTCTTTCTTAGCGTATGTCCTAGATTCAACAAAGGAGATTAAGAAGAAGACTCTGGACAATGTACCAATAGTATGTGAATACCCGGACGTGTTTCCTAAAGACTTGCCTGGATTGCCACCAGATAGGCAAGTGGAGTTTAGAATCAATTTGATACCGGGTGCAACACCAATAGCGAAGACTCCTTATCGTCTAGCGCCTCCAGAAATGAAAGAAATGATGGATCAACTACAAGAGTTATTGGATAAAGATTTCATACGACCGAGCACTTCACCATGGGATGCTCCGGTGTTGTTTGTCAAGAAGAAAGACGGATCTTTCAGGATGTGCATCGATTATCGTGAGCTAAATAAGGTAACAATTAAGAATAAGTATCCGTTACCCTGTATTGATGATTTGTTTGATCAACTTCAAGGTGCAAGGTTCTTCTCCAAGATTGATCTCAGATCAGGTTATCACCAGCTAAAGGTACGGGAGGAGGATGTACCTAAGACTGCTTTTCGTACGAGATATGGGCATTATGAATTTCTGGTGATGCCTTTCTGTCTCACAAATGCCCCAGTTGCGTTTATGGACTTAATGAATCGAGTATGTCATTCGGTGCTCGATAAGTCTGTAATTGTATTCATTGATGACATTCTTGTGTACTCGAAGTTTGAGAACGATCATGCAACACACCTTCGACAGATGCTGGAGTTGTTGAGAAAAGAAGGACTTTATGCTAAATTTTCAAAATGTGAATTTTGGCTACGTAAGGTACAATTCTTGGGACATACCGTATCCGGTGACGGTATCTCTGTGGATCCTGCCAAGATTGAAGCAGTGCAAAAATGGGAGCAACCCAAGAAAGCCTCAGAGATTCGGAGTTTTCTCGGCCTAGCGGGATATTACCGACGTTTCATTCGGGATTTCTCTAAGATTTCTGTTCCTCTCACTTTCCTTACCCGCAAAGATGCAAAATTTGTGTGGACCAAAGATCAAGAAAAGGCATTTCAGACTTTGAAAGATTGTTTGACACATACACCAATTCTTTCTTTACCTGAGGGTAGTGAGGATTTTGTAGTTTATAGTGATGCCTCACGATTAGGACTTGGTTGTGTACTGATGCAGAAAGGAAGGGTCATCGCTTATGCGTCACATCAATTAAAGGAATACGAAAAGAATTACCCCACTCATGATTTTGAGTTGGCAGCGGTGGTCTTTGTACTTAAATTGTGGCACCACTATCTTTATGGCACAAAATGCCAACTCTACACCAATCATAAAAGTCTAAAATACTTGTTCGATCAACAGACTTTGAATATGCGTCAGCAGCGTGCTATGGAGCTCATTAAGGATTACGACTGTGAGATACTCTATCATCCGGGTAAAGCCAACGTAGTGGCGGATGCTTTGAGTCGGAAAGCATATGCGAATCCTGTATGTTATGCTATCACTCATATGTCTATGAAAACCAATCTGTTCAACGATATACGAAAATGGCAGCAAGAGGCTTTGAAGCCTGAGCATGTCAAGTCAGAATAGATGGTGGGTCATGTCAACGCTTTATCTGAAGACTCTCGTGGTTTGAAAGTCTTTAAGACCCGAATCTGGGTCCCTAGATTTGGTGGTGCACAAGATATTGTATTGGCTGAGGCGCATAAATCGAGAATGTCTATCCATCCAGGAAGCACTAAGATGTACTACTATCTTCGTACTGATTACTGGTGGCCGGGGATGAAAACCGATATTGCACATTATGTTGAGCAATGTATTATCTGTATGAAAGTGAAGGCTGAGCTTCAAAAGCCATACGGGAGTTTACAGCCTTTAGAGGTTCCAGTGTGGAAATGGGAGGAGTTAACAATGGACCTAGTTACGAAGTTGCCAAAGACTCAACGACAGCATGATAGTATTTGGGTCATTGTGGACCGGTTGACGAAATCTGTGCATTTTCTTCCTGTTCTAGAATCGTATCCGTTGGATAAGTGGGCACGACTTTATGTTGATGAAATTATCGCTCGACATGGTATACCGACTAAAATCATCTCTGATTGTGATTCACGTTTCACGTCTAAATTATGGTCGGGGTTACAACGAGAACTTGGGACGCAGTTGGCCTTCAGCACCGCGTATCACCCTCAAACTGACGGCAATCTGAGCGCACAATTCAGACTTTAGAGGATATGCTTCGTGCCTGTATTTTAGAGTTTGGTGGTAGCTGGGATACCCATCTGTCATTAATTGAATTTTCTTACAACAAGAGCTACCATTCGACAATTGGAATGGCACCGTTTGAGGCCCTATACGGCCGTAAGTGTCGTACGCCTCTGTGTTGGAGAGAAATCGAAGAAAAGATACTTGCTGGACCCGAACTTGTACAAATCATACACGACAAAATACAGGTGATTCGAGAGAGAATGAAAGCTGCTCAAGACCAACAAAAGTCATACGCTGATCACCACAGAAGACCGATAGAGTTCTCAGTCGAAAATTTGGTCATGTTGAAGGTTTTCCCGTGGCGTGGAGTATTACGGTTTAGAAAGAAAGGTAAACTCAATCCTCATTTTATCGGTCCATTCAAGATTATTGAACGGGTCGGGAAACAAGCTTACCGTTTAGAACTACCGAAGAATTAGCGGGTATACATGACGTTTTCCATGTCGGCTATCTACGAAAATGTTTGGGCAAACATGAGGAAGTAGTACCATTGTCGGAAGTTAAGATAAATGAAAAGCTTCGATATGCCAAAGAGCCCGAAAGTATCTTGAAAGAGCGGACATGAAATTGCGCAATAGAGAGGTAGATTTGGTATTAGTGAAGTGGAAACATCATCATGGATCAAATTGGATATGGGAACGCAAAGATGAGATGATGACTAAGTACCCTTCATTATTATTGCAATCATGATTTCGAGGACGAAATCTTAAAAAAGGGGAGGTATTTGTAACATCCAACTTTTTAAAAGTCCATTTAAGTTGCTAAGCATGATTAATTAAGTTAGTATAGTATTTTAGGGATTAGTACTTACTTAAGTTAGATTGGAATATGGACTTCTGGATCGAGTTAGAGGCTGGAATTTTATATTTAATATTCGTATATATCAATTAGGAGATCTGGAAAGTTTCGTGCGAAACGGAGTTGAAACGACCAAGTTACGCATGAGGGACTAAATCTGTCAACTATGGCAAACTAGGTGGACTGTTGACCAAAACAGGTCAAAACCGTGCCTAGCTCTCTAAATCAGTCATATTTTCTCACCTCTAGAACTCTCACACTCAATGTGTGATTTACACACACTTAAGATTAATCTTTCAATCCTTGATGATCAATGTTAGATTCTTGAGGATTATGTGTTAATCA